CACATGTTGAATGGTGTAAACAGCTTATAGCTGCTACAATTTCTAGTCAGATTTCAGGTTCAGTGACATCAGAAAATGTATCCAGAGACTACAAGGTAAGCAGCATTGAGTCCTTAATTCATTTTTAATGTACCAAGAAGCTTTGCATTTCTTTAAAGATTTTGTTTAGTTATTTTAGAGAGAGAGGGAGAGAGCGCGTGGGGTGGGGGTGGGGGGCAGGAGCAGAGGGGGAGGGAAGAGCAGAGGGAGAGGGAGAGGAAGGGGGAAAGAATGTGAAGCAGACTCCGTGCTGAGCATGGAGTCCATCGTGGGGTTCGATCCCACGACCCCAAGATCACGACCTGAGCAGAAGCCAAGAGTTGGCCACTTAGCCAACTGAGCCGCCCGGGCACACCAAGAAGCTTTGCATCTTTAATTTGAGTGAGACTTTGGCCCCTTGATGCTCAACAAACATTTGCTTGGGAACAAGGGTGAAAGATTTTCTGTTAGATCTGAACTTTAGAGGAGAATTTTTACCAGAATCTAGTATATGTACTCACGGTTTTGTAATTGAGAGGAAAATCTGTCTTTAGATTATGATCCTTTTTTAAAAAATCCAGTTCCATTTTATTATTTATTATATTACATATTGTATTTTTACATTTTATTATAATAAATGCGTGTATTTTCTTTGATCATATCTTGAACTTCAAAAAATGTCTGATAGTATTTCCCAGCTTCACAATTTGTGTCTGTATTTAGGTACTACCTGTGGGTATTCAGCATTAACATGTGATACTACAATGCAAAAAGTTGCAGAACTCCAGAATATTGTATGGGCAGCCTCATTTTTTGGTCCTTAATTTGTATTCTCTGTTTATTCTGAAGTTGAGAATGATAAGCTCCTTGTCAGCAGAGACTGGGGCTCTTTTACTCACCACTGCTTCCCAGCACAGTCCTGGAATATTACAGGTGCTCAGTAAATACTTGTTGAGTCAGTTAAAAAATCACAAACTTATGCGCTCCATCTTTGTTAAGGCTAAGACTAACCTTGTTTTAATGTCAACAAACTATTAAACCGTGCTTACATTGCAGTAGTAGCATTTGCTTGAATTGAGGTTTCAGTTTATTATAGTTATCTGTGCCTGCTTGTAAAAGATAATTGATTTTCACAAGTATGGGCGAACTACATTTAGTATCCCAGACTACCCTCAGTCAACAGTCTCTCAAAATCATGGTCCTTGCCAGGCACCAAGTCTTAAAAACGGTTCAAGAACTACAACAAAGATCCTAATTAATTTTTAATAGATGCTCCTTGCTTAAGGGCTCTGGCCTCCGTTCCTCTCCTCTCTCTCATAACACACCAAGTGCAGAAACTGACTCAAGAGGCCAAATAATTGAAATTTGGCTATCATGCTGTACTTCATCCAAGCCATCCGATGCTGTTAATTAGGCCTACCAGAGGAAAGCAGGGCTTTGGATTATTAGAAATTGGATAATCTGCTCAGCCAGAAGAGTGGCAGTATGTCACTCTCAATAGGTTTCCCTGCTGTCTGGTTTTCATGTTTGTCCACGTAGGAGCAGCTGGGGTTCCTGGGGTTCCAAACCCAGCTGGGCAGATATGCCAGCTGCAGGTGGGAGGAGCATCTGCTGTATCACTGGTGCCCGAGCGGCTGGTGGCTGAGCAGCTGCCGACCCCACCAGTCCTAGGTGCCCTGTTGCCCCGTCTTAGCTGAGAAACTGCCCCGCTGAGTAGAGAGACTCAAGAACCCATGTTAGCAGAGAATAGCTCTCAGGCCTTGGAATGATTTTCTTTCCAGACAATTAGGAGTTAACTGTAATGTTTTCATTTTGCTTGAATATTTGTTAGTGTTGTGTGGGTTCTAGAAAAGACTGAACGTTGACTATATGCATAGCTTTCTAACCTCTACATTAATAGATCAGACTGAATCTGTGCTTTAACACGAAGCAATGACCTTTTTTTGATTTTAGTCTATTTACAAATTTTGTGTAGCAGAATTAGCTCATGCTGGAATGGTTTAACAGATGGCATTCTGAAAAAAAAAAAAAAGGCTCTTCTATATTTTGTAAATTGAATTTTAGGTACCTACATCAGATCATAGCTAAAGCTTTTGATGAATGATTGTAAGAGAACATGTTTTCTAATCGTCTTTGTTATATTTGCCCTGTAGTCAGAGTTACATTTATAATTCGGGAGTTTTTTCTTTAAGAAGAGAGTTTTTTTAAATAATCAAAGTGTAAAATGTTTCTAAACCACAAGGATACTTTTATATGCTACTTATAAAGTAGTTCTTAAAATCTGAGCCCCCAAGATGGGACTCTGGAATACCCCTGGCACGGGGACCATTGCATGCGGTTTTTCCTGAAGGTCCAGACACAATTCCTTGAGGATCTAATTTGCAGGCATCAGTCAATAATATTTCAAATTATCTACTGTGCAGATATCTTATTTGAAACCCACACACAATATGGGGGTTAATTTATTATAGGTTAAGCTTGATGTCAGTAATTAAATGGGAGCAGGTGTTTATGGAGCCGAGCACTTGCATCTTGATTTGAAATGCGGATTGTTTTTTCCCTTGTAGGCTGCTGAGGGTGGTGTTACATCCTCCTCATCAACCCGCGAGCACGTATAGGGCTCTATGGTTTTCTAATACTTTTTTGGTTGGCTTTGTAATACTTTTTGACATATAATCCATTTCAGCCTTAAAACAACCAAAGGAGGTAGCTGTTATTATGATCATTTAACAGATGAGAGAACCAAGGCTCGGAGATGTCAGATGACTTGCTTAATATCACATAGTTAGACTTGGGGTTTTTCAGCAGGACAGCTATCCCACTGAAAAGCTAGAGTGCATTTAAAATTTTGTCCCCCTGCCCTGTCCACTGTAGGGTTTTCCCACATCAGCACTCCCCAGGGTGTCTGCAAAAATGTAGCTTCAGTGGTCCCCATCCCCCGCAGTGAGTCAGAATCTCTGTAGGTGTGGAACCAAGGGCCTCATATATTTCTTATGTATAATAAAATCTGAAACGCTAGCCTTCCTAGGTTTATAGCTTTTGAAATTGGTGATGGGACCATGTGTTTCTGGTACATTCTTACAAATCAGAATAATTAGCAACTCAGGTTAGGTTTTTGAGAACAGTTGTTTTATTTATTCATATCATAAATTGACAGTAGGCTCAGGGTCAGATCACCCAAACTATGGTAAGATTATCACTTTTATCACATGAGATAAATTTAGATGGTATGTCTGTGGACGTATGTTCACAGTTATATAATTGTTTTAAATATGTGTTAGAAAAAGTAGCACATTGAACTTGTGTTTTAATGGATGTTATTGTATAGAGCTAGGCAAAGTATGAAAAAGGAGTTGATTTAAAGTCAATATAAATACTAATATTAGTATAGGCGGTGTAGAGAGAGAGCAAACCAAACTTGTAGAGATGGTATATGAAATGACAGAAATTTGGGAAACATTGTCCCAGCTAAAAAGGTAAATAGCTATTATGTTGAATTGTGGATCAGCTAAATTAATAAATTATGCTTTAATAACAAGTCATCCTAAAGATTAGCCCGATCATTAAGACTACTAGAAATGTAATAAAATGTTTTGTTTGACCCCCTCCCCGCGCCCCACTACCGACTCAATTGCTTTTCACTTTTACTGGGCTAACAAAGAGTAAAAGTCTCTCTCTCTCGAGTTTATCAAAGATTTTAAGAACAGGATCTGAATGTAATGTTCCATAGATTAGATGAAATAATATGGTTACAAGTTGTAACGAGACTTTTTAGGAGTCATTAGTAGAAGTGACCTCATCATCACTATCACCACCTCTGTTTCTCATCCCCTTGTCCATGTACACACAGTAGCTAGATCTCTTCTTTAAACATTCAAAAGAAAAAAGAGAAAATGGAGAGGTCCTGTACTAAGTGTAATCATTTAACAAGTTAGTATGGTGAGTAAATTCTGGATCCTAAACAAACATTTCCAGAAGGGCTTTGGCAGGAAGTAAGATGCAATGTATGGGAAAGGCTTCATTATGCTTGAGCTAGGTTTTAGTTAATATTTCTTAAATTGAGTGCCAGTCTATGTAAAAGGAAGCTCAAACATGATCTTTCAGAATCCATGGCCATAATCCACTGTTGATAACTTGGCCTCATGATCTATTTATTAAATCAGAGTTTGCAAATGCAGATGTCTACAAGCTAGGCAGACATGGGAGGGGGCAATGGAGAGCAGCATGTCCCCTTAAAAACAATTTAAAAAACACCCTCCTACTGCCTGTTTGAGCAGTAGGCCTCCAGTTTGTAACCACTGCACTAGAAGAGTGCTATCCTATCTCCCAGGGTTACTTGTCAGGAAAAATTATTTCTTAAAAATGTCCAGATTTCATAAATCAAAGAAAGACAGATACCATACGATTTCACTCATATGTGGAGTTTAAGAAAACAGATGAACATAGGGGGGAAAAAAGAGAGAGGCAAACCATAAAACAGACTCCTCACTCTAGAGAACACACTGAGGGTTGCTGAGGGAGGTGGGTGGAGGGATGGGTGAAATGGGTGATGGGATGAAGGAGCGCACTTGTGATGGGCACCGGGTGTTGTATAGAAGGGATGAATCACTACATTCTACCCCTGAAACGAATATTACACTGTATGTTAACTAACTGGAATTTAAAAACTTAAAAAAAAAATTGTCAAGATTTCGGCTTCTGCTTCTGGAAAGATGGAGCCAATGTACATTTTCCTATTCTTCATGCTAAGTACAACCCCAAACCCTGGACATCAGCTATAAAATAAACATAAGAGTGCCCTGAAAAGTAGAAGGCAGACTGGTCAGGGATCTCAGGACCCAAGGAATGACACGGTGGTGAGTCCCTGGGTTTAGTTGCTGCCACGTATGTCCCAGACTTGTTGCTGAAGAAGCCAGCAACCCAGAACTGCCAACAGGCATGGACAATAAAAGTCTACTCTCTCAAGCCGAAGGACCAGGAAAGGGGCAGCCTAGCAAAAAGAAAACTTGTAGGCACTCCCCACTGTACTCTAGCCAAACACCACAGAAAAAGTTGTGGCCCCACACCCACCCTGCCAGCAAGGCCAAGTTGGGAGCCTAGATGTACCCCCTCCCTTGCCAGGATCTAATGAGGCCCACCAAACCCGTGCGGTGGTGATGGTGTCGGAAGAAGCCTAGTGGAGACTCAGACTTTCCCGGCCGCCCGTTGGTAAGGAGGCTGCGCCCTCCGCTATGGCGTCGGCGGAGGCCGTGTCGGGGGCAGTAACAAGGTCTCCGTGCCACTGCCAGCCGGGGAGATATCCGTAGCAGCCTAGTGGGCAGCTGGAACTCTTTCCCCCACCCAGCAGTAACCAGGAATCCCCCTTCCCGTGGTGTCCATGGAGGCCGAGTGGGGAACCTGGACTTCTACCCCTACCTGACTGCAACAAGGCGGAAGCCCTGCTTCTGCTGCAGCAGTGTCCGAGAAAGCCTGCGAAGACAGAAGGTCTAAGTAAGATCCCTACTCTCATAACTAGTACTCAGAATGTTCAGATTGCCACTGAAAAGCACTCATCATACCACGAACCAGAAAGATCTCAAACTGTATGAAAAAAAAGAATGAGTAGGTGACAGAACTGAGATGACAGATGTTAGAGTTCTGTGAAAATGATTTTAAAGAAGCCATCATCAAATTGCTTCAATAAACAATTACAAATATGCTTGAAACAATGAAAACAGAGGAAGTGAGAGAAAAGAAATAGGAAAGTTTCAGCAGAGAAATAGATAAAGAAGAACCAAATGGAAATTTTAAAACTGAAAAATATAGTAACCGAAATTAAAAAAAAAAAACCCTCAATGAATGGGTTCAATAGCAGAATAGAAAGAACAGAGAAAAGAATTGGACGGGTCTTAAGGGAATTAACACTGAGCCAAAAACGCCACTCAGCAAAGGTCATATACTATACTATAAATGATTCCATTTATGTAACAGTCTTCAAATAACAAAATTATAGTCACGAACAGATTACTGGTTGCCAGGGGCTAAGAAGGGGAGGGACGGTGAGGGAAGCTGATGTGGCTATAGAAGGGTGAAAGTAGGGGTCCTCCTGGTGATGAGATTGTTCTGCATCTTGACTGTATCAGTGTCCGTTTCCCCGGTGCTGACATTGCTCTATAGTTCTGTAATATGCTGCCATTGGGGAAATTGAATGACACGATACGTGGAATCTGTTATTTCTTACAACTGCAGGTGAATCTACAATTATCCCAAAATTAAAATTTAATTTTTGAAAAGTCAAGATTTTTACAGACTGCTGAATGATTCTATATTGCGTGTAAAATAAATCTTGATTAATACATTTAAAACTCATGATATATCAGAAGTATTATTTAAATGAAACAAAGTTATGCTAGTAAAGATGGTAGAATTTAGTTAGTGAAAGGATATCAGCAGTTATCAGATCTCAGTTTACTAGTTGAGTTACAAATATCCTTTTCCTAAGTGGCAATTGGGGCCAGCTTGTTTCATCGAGGGTGGAATTGAACATGAACAGCTCCTTCATCACCTTTCCTGGAGGGCTTCGGAGAGTGGAAAGTGACTGTTGCAGGCTAAAGTTTGACAAAGGGGGTCAGGCAAGATTCAGGTGTGGCTAGTTTCCCAAAGACCGGGGTTATATTTTGATGGCAAGTGAAGATTTGTCTTCACCTGCCCTGGGCCTCTGACTCTAGCCAGCCATTGACCACCAAGCTGGGTAGAATTCTGGTTATTAAGACACCAACAGCAAGAGCAATGATCTCCTGAGCCAACAGTTCACTCTTCAGAGCAGGGTACAAACCTCTTCTTTTTAAACTCATTTTGTAGTGATCTGATAGCTACAGCAGAATTACTTTATTTGTAGGTTTCACGCCTGAAATAGAAAACAGTGGTATTTTTACTTCAGTATCACAGTGTTTTCTTGAAAAGAAGCCTCTTAGATGCATAAGTTCTAAACAGGTCACTTATAAAACACTGACACTTATTTGACTTAAAATTGTCTAATGTGGCTTATCAAAAAGATCATAAACTTTGGATTCGGAGCACTTTGCCTTGAGTCCCAGTCCTGTAATTAACGAGCTGCCCAACAAGTTATTTAACCTTCTTGAGCTTCAGTGTCCTCATCTGCATAATGGGTGTTACAGCAGAGGTTTAATCTATTAAATAGGGCAGCCTATGCATGAAATGCACACGGTCCTTATTTACTGTATACTCTCAGTCTACATAAATGTGTATGTAGTACAAACCAATACTGGAGGAACACAGTCTGATCACTGAACACCCATGCACGTCCACAGTCGTGATGTGAGCACCTGTCATGTGCAAGGGGCTGGGCTGCACGGAATTCCTAATGGGGAAAGAGACACCAAAACATATAGTTCAAGTTGGACTGTGGTGAGGCTTGACATAGATGTGTAAACAAGATGTGGTGAGAGGAGTGAGGAGGGCAGAGCAGGACATTCTGGGCATTAAGCCTTGAGGGCCTTTGTCAACCTCCTTCAGAAGGGGCAAAGGTTCGGGATGGGGAGGGGTGGCATATTGAGGGTAAGAACATGGGCGCTAAAGCCAGCCAGCTTGGGTTTGAATTCCCACTCTGCTGTTGCTGGCTATGTGACGTTGGGTGAGTTACTCTACCTCCTGCTGCCTCGGTTCCCTCATCTGTCACAGGGGGATAACAGTATCTCCTTCCCAGTGGCTGGGAGGGTCAGGAGGGCTGAGATGACACGTGTGAAGCATCTAGCACAACCCCTTCAACACATCTGCTTGCTGGTATTTGTATCACGGGCACTGGCCGGGGGTGAAAACTTCCTGAAGTCCTTCCACACTGTTGGAGGTTTAGTGGTGTCAGCTATTACCTTATGAAGAATTAAGACAGGAGCCAAACAGAGTTAGACCACGATAATTGATCAAAGCTGGCTTGGAGGGCCTGGCTTAGGTGTGAGGCCACGGGAGGCCCAGAGGCAGCCGTGGACACCTGCAGCCTCTTCCTCGGGGCGGGGCTCACACAGGCAGACCCGCCACCGCTCAGGGAGACCAGGCCGTGCCCTCCCGGTGCGCTGGTGCACAGATCCCAGAGTGCCCAGAGGGGCAAAGAAGAGCACACCGACCCCCTTACCAGGAGCAAGTGGTCAGCGGGAGCCCTCGCCTCTCTGGTGCGGAGTGCCCCAAAGGATGTCTTGAAAAGAACCTGAGAGCAGAGGAAGGGAGTTTTAACCCCAATGCAGACTTTTATACAAATTTAAATCTTGGTGCTTGTCTGGGAAAAAATTCACTGTTTTCCTCTCTGCTACTCGCACTACACATAGAACCATGCACTAGGGAATGAACATGCTCGGAGACGGGAGACCTTCTCTTTTGAGCTTGTATTGCCATCTGTGCCCCGTTTTGCGTTGTTGACTAACATAGGCATGTATTTTCTTGATTTGGTATAGCTTTCTCCAGGTGTAATTCACATTTAAAGTATACAACTTGATACATTTTGATAGGTACACACCTCTTAATCACCACAATTAAGAGGATAAACATACCCATTGCCCCCTCCTGCAAAAAAAAAAAAAAGCCAGGCTTAGGTTTTTTAGTTTAGTCTATATTTAGGAATTTATGGGCTTTAGGTCTCTGAGCTACTGTATCATCACTTAATTCAGAACCTTTTTTACATGAGAGGGTATTTTAATGATGATACAGTGATGTTTTTTGAAGTCAGTAGCCTTGCAGACATATGATCTTATCTATCCTGAGTAAAACCTATAAAGCTGATAATTGGAACCTTCGCTGATTTTTTTTTTTTTTTTAATCTGTTTCCCATAGAACATATGGTGGTTAGATGGTAGGATTTCCGACTGTGGATTGAGGAACAAGACATTCATGTCTTCCTCGCTTTCCATCCATTCTCTGGGTGTTTTCTCCAGCCAGAGCTTCCCCGATGCATACACTGCATGTTCAAGTAGAAGTCATGGGCGAGGGTTAATAAAGCTTGACTTCCCCCCTCCCCTCCCAGCAGAGCCAGCTACCTCTTCCCACCTGCAGTCCCGAGTACGAGTTGGAAATAGGATTTCTATAGAAACCAGCTTAAGATTTATGGCTAACTAGGGTTTATGATACCATTAGCGCAAACAGCTGAGCCGTGCTCTGGGTCAAGTGTGGGGGCTTTGTGGTTTTTGGGTTCCGTTTTTGTTTTGTTTCTGTGGGCTGCTTTGGGAGCAGAACCGCCGTTTTGTATCATTGTTTCTATGGGGAAAATGCATTCAGTATTCCAAACAGACACACAACTGAACTTTTCATACACAGCCTGTTCACAATGGCTTATAATGGTACTTGACAGAAGGGGTTTGTGTTTAAAATAATGTAGTTTGTCTGAGCCTAAGGGCAATAAGTTTCTCCAAATCAGAGACTTGCCTGACAATTACAGGACAAATGTGTTAAGATTGATTTGATAGCAAACAAAACTTGGAGGGCAAATGTGTTAGGATTGATCTGGTTGGTTTAGTTAGAGGATTATTCTGTTCCATCGGGATGGGCTGGTGAGCTTAACAGCGTCTTTCACAGGTCAATAGTAATGTGTCCATGATGATGATGTTCTGTATTTTAACTAACAGGTTTTCAGGAGGCCTGATATAAGGGTAAGGATATGTGGCTTTCGGCACATGGACCTCCTACTTGTGTGTCTCTGTGCTTGATCGAACACTTAGTCTATTTAGTGTTCTCTGCCTCCTCACTGGGTTTATGAGTCACTCCGATCAACTTGCTGTGCTGTGTCATAGCTTTAAGTGTTCACTAGAAATGCTTTATTTGTTACGGTGTTTTTATGTGCGATGAAAGCCAGTGTGTGTGAGGGCAGGATGCTCAAGTTGTTGCCAGTGTGCAGTACTGACTTGTTGGGCTACATGAATTCTGACCAAATGGAGATTCATGGCAGAGGCTTCTATGGCCAGGCCTGCAGAGTCCTCTTTTCACCTCGCCTACCACAAAACTCATGCTAAAGAATTTAACAACACCAACAAAGTCGTGATTTGCTGTCCATCCTATCTAAGTGAGATTTCAAGTCACCTTTCTGTTTGCATGCTGAATCTAAAGAGCAGAAGTGCCAGTCTTATGGATAAATTTAACAGAATCAGTTCCATTTAATATTTCTTAAAATACAGATGTAGCTGTTATGAGTAGTGGATTGTCGCTTATATTTTCCTCATGACTTTCCTTCCCTTTATTTCAGAATATGCATAAAGCAAGACAAAGATTGGTAATGTGCATGCGTTTGAACCTGAGTATCAGATGTTGAAAATTAACCTATTCCCATGCAATGAAAATAATGTGGATTTGACAGAATAATGACTTGAGTTTAAAATGGTTAATCTTACTGAAGCCAATGAAGTAGTACAAAAATAAGCAGGTTAAGTCAAATTCTTGTTATCCCAGTTGGTTTATCTCTGTTTAATCTTGTTTTCACCACATTTCCTTTTACTTGTGGGAATCATTTTCTTTCACTGATTCACACTGTTAAATATCAGTGTTTGGCTTCCCATTTGCATGGACTTCGAAGTATTGTGTAGTTTTTTGTTGTTCAGTCATTCATTTTTCTGTTTTTAAAAATTTTATCAAAGAATGATTCATTTTCTTTGTATTTAAAAATATGGAAATTTCAAAACCCGTTGCATTTTAAAAATGACCCTGCTTTGAATGGTAGCAGTACCAACTGTGTAGTAAATCCAATCTGATGATAAAGCATGACAATGAATTAGGTAGCGATTTTACCATATTGACAAAAATGAAAGGTGAGAAATAGTAAGTTCTTGTAAAGCTTTGCTACTTCTTCACTGATTGCCTTTTAGAGAAATATAGTCATGGGAACCAAAGTTTCATGAAGAAAAAATATATCTATGCCAAATTTTAATATTTGCAGCCTCAGAGAGCTGATACAACTTTTAAAAGGGGTTATCATCTTGGCGTCTTCAGCATTTATGTTCTTTTATCACCTGCTGAACCGAAAGTCCAATTTTTAAAGTTTCAAAAATGAATTGATTCTATGAAGAGGTTAAATTAAGCACAGTATACCTTTAAAGAGATCGGAAAACACTTAAAGATATGTGACCTTTTAGCTGTTTCTTTGGAGAACATTGATACTTTAATACAGTATTGATTCATAAAGCACAACATTTATTTAGCAATAATTTGCAGATTATATGTATATATATGTCTCCAGCATGTAATCTGTGCATGTGCATGTGTGTGGAAAGCTTGTTAATACTAGTGGATTGAGCCCTGAGCAGTAGTTCTGTAGAGTATATGAGTACTTTACTGCATTTAAAATATGTGTCTATGAACTGCCTTTGTATTTTGGCTTGGTTTTGCCCTTTACTTGGTTACTATGGTATGCTTTATGTTCTATGAGCATATTATGTGTCTGTTATTTTGTTTCTTTGCCATATGCTATAGTATTGCTTGATTTAAAATAGACCGTACATTCTTTGAAATCCATGATGTTTGTTTGCTTTTCATTTTTCCACCCCCAACACAAGCACAGAATAGATACTCCATTTTAGGCTGAGGATGCTATAGATGACCAACACGTTATTTCCCTAACTCCAAGGGGGAAAATGTTGTGATATGCAAAGCCGTGAAAGGTGTGTCAACTTTTACATGCTTAGTGTCTCTTTAAAAAAGAACTTCTGTCCTTTCACCTGTCTGTTTGCACGTGTTTCTCTTTCTCCTCTTTGCCCTTTCTTGTCCATGCACCTGGTGCTGTGCAGGAGATTCAGGAAGAACACAATGGCTACCCTTCTGAAGCCGAAGCTGATCAGGTGGCAAGTTCTACATGTTCATCTGTTTGTAGCTACAGATCGTGTATTTAGAAGCCATTTCATACTAGATTTCTAGATGATAAGCAAATGCTTTTCCACTACAGTAGTGCTCTCCTGTCCAAGTTTGGTAGATTCCATTATGACATTATTTGCAAAAATTGGTTTATCCAACATTTTGTCAACCAGAAATTTGTTCATCTGTGCTTCTCAGTTTTCCCAGATAGGGTTAGCTATGAGGTAAGGAGTCTTAGTCACAGCAGGACTCTGAAATGCCTTCACAGAGATTGAGAGGGGACAGATGCATATGCTCAGGGTGCTCCTTGAGGTTATAGACTTTGCTTTATTCAAATTTGCATGATCTGTGCCCAACATAGTACCTGGTACCTTGTAGGTATTTGTAGAATGAGTCCATATGGGTTATATTTATTAATCAGAAAAAAAAAATCATGCATCAAGATTCTTGAGTGCTTACTCTTTGCTCGGTTCCTCAAGACCCTCTGGAGTCTTTTAAAGCCTCAGAACTTTCTCCAAAGCTTATTTAGAATCTCCATGTATGAAAGCGCTTAGAAGAGCAGCTCCAGGGAAGCATGGTCAGCTACCCCCGTGCTCAGCTGTGCCTTTGCCCAGCCCACCCTCCTTTGGTGACCCTGGAAGCACCTTGAAGAGCCCGATTTGAAAACCACTGCTTTTGGCATGCAGCCATTATAGAAACTGTCCACACAGCAGCTTCGATTCATGATGAGAAAAGTAGCAGAGAGGCCAGGGCCGTCTGGTGGGCTGGAGTCTTCAGGGACAAATTCAGGGAGCTGGTGGGCCTTCCGCTGGACTTTCAGGGTCACTGGAACAGGGTTTGGATGAGATCATCACAAGGAATTCCTCAACTGGGCAACACATGGAGCAGAGATGCCAAGAGGAATGAGTGTGTTCATGAGATCAAATTTTGTCCACAAGAATTCTATTCCATTCTTTGATTGTACTGTACATGGGTTGGATAAATCAAGGGTCAAATCATGTCTTGTGCAACTTGGTAGTTGCAGTCAAAGCTTAATGTAGCACAAGTGTGAGTCCCATTTCCTAACACCAGCTTTATTAAGGGAATCTACTGTACTCACAAAATAACGAGCCTTTAGAAACCATTCTTCTCTTGAATTCCTATGCTAAAGCTAAATGCGTTTCCTGTACAAAATCAGACTTTTATGGGAAAATCAGAAGCAGTGGGATCATTTGTTTTGTTCTGATAGTTGCTTTTCCATCACTTATAAAGCATGCCCCGGATTGAATTATTATTAGTGAAAGGTTTGTCTCATGTCTTACCAGCACGTCCATGCCTCATATATATGCACAGGTATTTCAAGCCAAATTTAACATGACTATCAGAAAAGAAGAGACATATTTGATCTTCAACCTCAATCTTGAGAGCCCTGTACATTCTCAAAGTGGTCCCAGTCACTGGTGTCGCCCATCTGCAACTTTTTAGTAGCTAGTCCCGTGTAGAGGACTTGAAAGTGTTTGATGTGGCTCGCTATAAAGCTTAAAGTGAATCACACCCCCCCTGCCCCTCCCCGCTCCCCTTCCAGGTTCAGTTGATTAGAACAGCTTGCTTTGGTACATATATTTCAAAATAACCCATCCCCATTTATTTTTAAATATAAGTTAAGGAATTTAGGTCTATATATGATAATATTTAACCATTAAAATAAGCTTTAACAGTGTAATATTTGAAGTAACCCTAAACTTAGATATTGATTGAACTAGCTTTCTCACTTTGTAACTATATTGTAAAATTAATCACTGGTTCAGGCAAAAGAAAGCAGAACTTCAAATTAAGACTTCTAAGATTGGTGATGTTAGTATTTCTAAAACTGAACATTTAGAAGTATAAATATTGGCTTATGCTTTATTGATAAAAGATGTTTCCAAATCAGGTGTGAGTATAAAAATGAATCCATTAACAATTCTCCATTTACCCTTTAATGGTTCTCTATGTCCCTAAAAAATTTTACTGCAGTGTTTTAAAAACCAATCTGGACCAAAACATCAAGCTGAATAAAATTGTTCAGAGGTAATAATGAGCCCTTAATCTGTAATCTTTTAATCGTGTATCTTGATAAGGAGGATGGACCGCATCATTTTGTACCCTTCCTGTAGAACAGACATACCCCAACTGACATTTAGCATGGAATTTGCTTTTTATATTTTTTTAAGTTTTTTTTTTAAAGATTTTATTTATTTTATTTAT